TGTTTGCCTGGGAAATGTGTGTGTGCGTGCATGCATGTGTGTAAGTAGGCTCCACGCCTGGTGTGGAACCCAACACAAGGCTTGAACTCACAACCCTGAGATCAAGACCTGAGCTGAGATCACCCAGGCACCCAGATTTTCTGGGAAACTCTTTTTTTTTTTTTTTAGATTGTCTGGGAAACTTTTTTTTTTTTTAAAGATTTATTTATTTTAGAGAAAGAGGGGAGGGGCAGACAGAGAGGGAGAGAGTCTTAAGCAGACTCCTTGCTAAACACGGAGCCCATTGCAGGGCTCAGTCTCAGGACCCTGAGATCACGACCTGAGCCGAAACCAAGAGTCAGACGTTTAACCAACTGCACCACCCCAGTGCCCCTGTCTGGGAAAATCTTCATTTCTTCTTCTATTCTGAATGACAGCCTTGCTGGATAGAGTGTTCTTGGCTGCAGATTTTTCCCATTCAGCATGTTGAATACATCATGCCACTCTCTTCTGTTATGCCAAATTTCTGTGGAGAGATCTGCAGCTTCCCTTATGGGTCTTCTAAGTTAAGGACTTCTTTTGTCTTGCTGCTTTTAGGATTTTTTTTTATATCACTATATTTTGCAAATTAAACTACAGTATGTCTTGGTGTTAGCCTGCTTTTGTTGATTTTGATGGGAGTTCTCTGTGCTTCCAGGATTTGGTTGTCTGTTTCGTTCCCCTGACTACAGAAGTTTTCAGCTATTTCCTCAAATAAACCCCGTGCCCCCTTTTCTCTTCTTCTTCTTCTTCAGGGACTCCTATGATATGAATGTTATTATGTCTGATTGAGTCACTGAGTTCCTTAAGTCCACTCTTGTGATCCATCATTCTTCGTTTGTTTAGCTTCATTACTTTCTGTAATTCTAGGCTCTATATCACTTATTCGTTCCTCTGCTTCTTCTATGCTAGCAGTCATTACATCCAGCCAGTTTTGAATCTGTTATTGCATTTTTCATCTCTGCCTGATTGTTTTTTAACTCTTTTACTTCTGCAGTCAGGGTCTCCCTGATGTTTTCCATGCTTTTCTCAAGCCCAGCAAGTATCCTTACGATTGTGTTTTAAATTTTCCACCAGGCATATTACTTATATCTGTTTTGATTAGATCTCTGGTCATGACCTTTTCTTGTTCTTTCTTTTGGGATGAATTCCTCCATCTTGGCATTTTGTCTAGGTCTCTGTCTTATGTGTGTTAGAAAAGCCTGTTGTATATCCTGCTCCAGAGAGTAATGGCTTCAAGAGGTCATATAATGCCCACGGCCTGGCACTGCAGGGAGTGTCTCTAGTGTGCTGTGTGCACTCTGCTGCTCATGTTGGCTGCTCTATCCGTCAGTCAATCCTTACCTAGAGTGGGCAGTGTTTGGACCTTAGTCAGAGTATGGCGAGTTTCAACTAGGTATGCTCTGATCTATTTGTTAAATGAAACCCGACGCTATTTCCACTAGAACTGAAGCTTTGCAGAGCTCTATGGTCAGGAGATATGGTATGTGCGAGGGTCTGTGCTGATCTTCTGGGGAAGGGACCTGCTGCGCTGGTTCTTAGGCACACTTGTGTGAGAAAAGCAGTATCAGGAGATCACAGGGGGATGGGACTTGGTGTAAGCAGGTCAGGCAGCAAGTGTTGGCACTGTGCTATTTACTGAAGTTGTTTATGCTGAGGGGTGGGGGAGAGAAATGGCACTGGCTGGCTCTTTTTCTCCCCATAGAGGGAACTCCACCTCTCATAGAAGCGCTCCAAGAAGAGCTAACAAGTCTCTCCCCATGCGCTTTAGGCAATCCTCAGAGGCAATCCTCAGATGGCACCATCCACCCTGGGGTTGCTCGCTTGCCTGCTCTCAAAGAATAGGGCAGTGCTCTCAGGGCTCTATCCTAGCCCAGCCTGTGGACCTCCAAAACCAGTCTTTGAGCCCTGCTGGTTACAAAAACTCATGAAAATCAGCCCCTCTCCTTTTCCCAGCCAATGGCTTTGGGGAAGTATTCTCCTTATATGTATCTCTGTGTGCTCCATTGTCTTGCCTCTCTTCACAACCCATGATCCATTTCTCCCCCAAACCACATCTCCTCACTTCCTACCTTCCTTGATGTTGCCTCTTCTCTCCCTCTAGTTGTGCAGTTTGTTCTATCAATCCTCACATTGATTTCTTGGATATTTGGAATGATCTGATAGTTATCTAGCTGTGTTCAAAGGACGAGACGAGCCTAGGGTCCTCCTACTGCCACCTTAGCTCCTGCCCTCCACAGCAAAGCTTTCTGAATGAGTTGTCCACAATGCTGTTTCCACTTCTCCATCCACTTTCTGCTTTTCAGTCTACTCAAACAAGCTCCCACCACACCTCTGTTTTGAAATAACTGCTGTCAAGTCCCCACGTACCATCCTTTCTAAGTTCTGTCGATTCTGTCAAAAAAAAAAAATCTCGAGGGACGCCTGAGTGGCTCAGTCGTTAAGCGTCTGCCTTCGGCTCAGGTCATGATCCCAGGGTCCTGGGATCGAGCCCTGCATCGGGCTCCCTGCTCGGCGGGAAGCCTGCTTCTCCCTCTCCCACTCCCCCTGCTTGTGTTCCCTCTCCCGCTGTCTATCTGTCAGATAAATAAATAAAATCTTAAAAAAAAAAAAAAATCTTGAAGCTTTCCATTTCCACTCTGACCACGCTTGTCTAAGTCACCACTGTCGGTTTCAGCAACAGCATCTTAACAGGGACCATGGTTTTCATTTAACCCATTTACACAAAGCAGCCAAAAAATGATTTTTTAAAAATATAAGTTTATATAAATATAAATCATTAAAAAATGATTTTTTAAAAATATAAGTTTAAAAATATAACTTCCTTCTTTTAACCCTTTAGTGGCTTCCTACTATGCTTTAAATAAAATTCAAATTCTACCACGACCTGTCAAGTCCTTGTTCTCACCTCTATGTTTCTTTCCAACCTCACCTAATATCACTAGACCCTCTGCCTGCTATGCTCCATTAACACTGGCCTCCTTTATGTTCCTCAAACATGCCAAGCTCTCTCCCACTTCAGACTGTGTACTACTGGTCTCTCTGTCCCAGTTCTTCACACGGCTGGCTCACAGCTGACTCCTCCTCATCTTTCAGGTCGGACCAAATGTCACCTCATCAGAAAGATCTTCCCCAACCAACATATCTAACAGCAGTCAGGCTGCACATATATTCACCCTGTCACTCAATAGTGTTTCACTTGGTTTATTCTCTCTTAACATTTGGATCATCCTAGGTAATCACAAATTATTTTCATTATTATAGCTAATACCTGTATATGCTTTCTATGTGCAGGCACTGTCAACTTAGTTCACCCTCACAACCTGTAAGGCATTATTTTTACATACAAATGAAGAAACTGAGACACAAAAGGTCACACAGGTAGTGTACAGCAGAGCTGGGGTTCAAACCTGAGCACTCCAGTTCCAGAGCCCATAGTCTTAACCACTATGCTGTACTCCCTTTCGGTTTAACTCTTTATTTTTGTTAACATAAGCATCTGAAACGGAAATCTTGTCTGTCTTATGAACAAATGACACACACACAAGACTCAGTGAATATTGGTTTAAATGGTAGTAAATGAATGACCTAACCCTAATTGCCTAATAAGAATATGGGGACTTTCCTACTTGTATCTTTGGTACAGCAACCAGTGTTGCTAAGTATCTCATAAATGATCCTTCTTCACTTGTCTAAATTCTTTTGATATAATTAACCCAGTCCCTCCTCTCCTTAAAATTTATTCCAACTTACATTGCTGTCCCTAATTCTAGTCACATATACATAAAAAGTGGCACTATGCAAGTGAAATAACATAAAAATGGAAAAAAGCATCTTCAAATATTTTAAGAATCCTCTGAAGGCCAAAAAATTTACAATATTCTATTCTTATTCTTTGGGGACTGGCTTGCCTTCTATCCACAAAACAAAAGACAGCAGACAGATGATAACCAGCACTGAGTGCCCACAGCTGGACAACTGGGGAAATAACCAGTATCTAGACTCAAATTGGAACTTTACTACTTAACAGAAAGGGAGATCCCTAAAGAGTATTTTCTTATCCAAAAACTGGTGAATGATAATTCTTACTTCAAGAAATGTCACGCTAAATGTGGCAATTCAGTGACTAGCACACAGTAGTAGCCATCAAACCAGGCTTCAGGATTAGTAACTTCCCTTCTCCAAGTATCTTAATTACCTTACATTACATTTGAGCTCAAAAATATTTATTTAAATGCCAGGCAATAATATTAACATGAACAGAACTAAAATTTTTCAAGTACCTATTACATTCTAGATACTGTCCTAGGCCCTTTGACTGTTTTAATGTGCACTATTATTTCAGTTTTACAGATGGAAAAACAGATGGTTTAAGTAATTCATCTACAGACATACACAAGTTAAGTAATTCACCTAAAGTCTTATCACAGAGAAGATGATAAAGCCAGGAGTAAACCCCAGATGGTCTGATTCAAGACCCCATGCTCTTATCAGTAAGCTATACTTTCTCTTCGGAGAGAAAAAGATATGAATAAGACATTTTTCCTTTGCCCTCAAGGAACTTCAGTTTTATATGAATTTTATTATTCAAAGTCATTTCACATCACCCCAGGTTTATGTTTTATGCTGTGTACTGCTAGATTCAGCCAGCCTTGCACCAACAGTGATCTCTTATTACATAGTCAAGTCCTAAAACTCAACTCCGCTGAACAAGCATATTATACTTCCACTAAAAATTAAGACGTTCCCATAAACCGAGAAAGAAAACAGCATCTACATGATACAGGTAGATCCTAGATGGATTAAATACCGCACGGTAAGCTTCCCTATCTGTGGTGGCAACAAAGGAGATTCCTTCCCTCACTCATCCTTTTCTGTATTATTCCAAAGAAGATGACTGTATAGAGTTGTCTTGCTGGTCTTAAGAAGGAATCTCAAGTAAATTTTATCTTTACAACCCCATTCCATAGAGACAAACTTACCTTTTACATATGTAAGATCAATCCCTTTCTCTGCTGCCAATTTCTTTGCAAGAGGGCTAGCAAACAACCTTCCCTTGGGTCCAGCAGGAGTAGCTGGGCGGGTGGCTGAAGGTATAGGCGCTACAGGTTGGGGAGCTGGAGGAACAGGGGCCACCTTTTGAAAAAAGTTACAAATTGTTAACTCACCACTGTAAAGACTGGTCTGAAAGATTAAGAGCTTACATTTACTAAGAAATCAAAATAACTTTTATCTTTCTCCCAAAGATCATTATGCATATTTTTCCTGCTTAACCAACATAATATAGCAATATGAAGAGTAATAATATAACCTTATGGCAAAGACAGGACCACATTATCTTACTCCCTGATAACATGGAGAGACATGGAATTTAATACTGCTAACCAGTATGTAATATCCTTATAGACTTTCTTTACTTTCATCTCTTGCTGTTTCTTTATTCTCATTCTCTTTCATGACCAACGTGGCTTTGTTTTTACTTAACCTTACTGCAAAATAAATTGTGCTGGAAGGTTCCATGTTGAAAGTATGTTAAGAAGTAACTACTACTTGCCAGCTCCCCACAAATGTAGGTAAGTCAGAAATCAAGTTTTCTCTCACAGAAATGTGTACTACTTAGTCTAAACTCACATGATCCTAACACGTACAGAAGCCTCGTCATAGTGTTATCTAGACCTGAGGTGCACTGTAGATATACAGTGTTTACACTGTATGTATAGCATACACAACAAAACTGGCTTCTATGCAAAACAAGCCATGGTATGTCAAGGTTGTAATGTATTGTAAAAATAAGCTTAACCCACTATCGTAAGTGAACACCAAGAGTACTGACAGTAATGAAGATTAACTGACCCTCCAACAACAGAAGTTTGAACTACACAGGCCCACTTACACACGGATTTTTTACAGTACAGTACTACAAATGTATTTTCTCACCCTTACAATTTTCTTAATAACATTTTCTCTATTGTGCTTTAAGAATACGACATACAATAGGTATCATATACATATACTATACAAAATATGTGTCAATTGACTGTCTACTGTCCATGTGGTCAGTAAGGCTTCCAGCCAACAGCAAGCTTATTAGTTATTAGTTAAAACTGGGTGGAATCCAAAGTTATACAAAGATTTTCAAGTGCGCAGAGTTGGTGCCCCAGATCCCATGCTGTTCATGAACAACTGTACACAGTAATTTCCATATGCATATCTATACCTAAAGCAGACAAAGAATATGTCACCTCAGCTTTGCTCTCAGCAGGACTCAAGACAGCAAGAAAAAAAAAAGTTACAAGGATCTAACACCTATTAGGGGAATGGTGCACTGCCACATACCTTGCAGATCTCCACAAAAGCACATGATTTTTTTTTTTTTAAAGGTTTTTAAAATATCTTAAGTAATCTCTACATCCAATGTGGGGCTGAAACTCACAATCCGGAGAACAAGACTTGCAGGCTGTACCAACTGAGCCAGACAAGAGCCCCTAACCATCTCCTTCCCCATTTATAGAATCTGAGAGCTGGTAGGAACCTAGAATATCATCCAATCTAATCCCTTAATTTAGAGATGAATATGGTTAAGTGTTCCCTCAAGTCTAGAAGCATACCTACCGGGGGTGGGGTAGATGGTGGTGCTTGTGGTTTTAAATCAGTTACTTCAGTTGGCCTATAGTCAGCAAACGCTGGTATATCTTCCTCTTTTTCCACAATGATACAAAGTGGAGTTCCTAGAGGGACATCTCTTGTGCCTTCAGGGATCAGGATTTTCGCCAGGTAACCCTCCTCCTGTACTTCAAAACCTTAAATAGAAAGAAAGACCATCATGGAATTTAAAGGACTCCACTATCCCACCAAACTCAAAGCACAGTTTTAAGTAAAAAGCTCTTCTCCTTCTAACTAGCTATATAACCTTTTGTGAGTTAATGTCTCTGTGTCTCAGCTTCTTTAGCTACAAAATGGGGATTACAATAATACCTACCTCACAGGGATGTTATAAAAATTATTATTTTTCAAGTACTTAGAAACAGTACCTGGTATAAATACTAAATAAATAGCTGTTAACTAAAACTATGAGAGATTTAGACAGTAGTTAGTTCTGAACATTTTCTTAAAAACATCTCTAAGAGAAGCTGCTATGCAGACCCACAAGACTTCAAGATGATATCAATTGTACCAATATGGCATCAGTTGTACTTCTAAAAATCAGAACCGCATGGATGTTAAATTAACGGAGCTACCAGAATTGACAGGGATGTGGGATTATGCGCTTAAAAGTATCTTTGGAGTTTTCAAAGAGGTTTTTTTGGTATTCAACTAAATATTTCAGTGTGAAGAATTATGGCATTACTAGGGTTTCTATGGTGTTGACAAATTACATTTTATTCAGCAATTGCTCTTCTGAGAAAGAACTCAAAAATGAAGTGTTACAAAAGTAAAACTAAAAGAAGACATTGCAGAGAACAATTTTTGCCTTACAGATCTCTTGGCTTTCTGTTGTACCCCTCCCTGACAAACACATTTTTGATGAATCCTTCCCTTTTCTAGTTAAGAATTAATATCCAATAAAAGCTATTTAAAAAAAAAAAAAAAAAAGACTCCAAGGCCACAAGAGAGTTTAAAGAATTTGACGAAGGTAATGCTTCTCCAGTGACTACCAGAGTCTCGAATACCATCTCTATAGCAATTCTGGCAAAGCAGATCTATTGTTACCAAGGGGTTTTGTTTGTTTCTAACAGAATCCTTTCTTCTAATAAAATCTTTCGGTTGGAACACAATATGCAAAAAGATAAAAAGGAGTTGCCCTGGTGAAAGTTGGGGAAAGGGTCAGGGCAAAGTAGAGTCCTGTTCATTAAGTCTCCTGTGCCCCAAGGTGCCATCAAGGAATCATGGGGTTTGAAGAACACAAATCTAAAAATCACCATTGCAGAGAATGCCCAGAATCACCCACTGCATCTTTGGGGACTGGAAAGGAAAGAATAGATCTACTAATATCTATGAATATTATCACAAATAATAGGTGGGCTTTGTTCTGAGCATAAAAATGAATCAGAACGGGAATATATGGAAATGCAGTATGACGTGTAAACAGGTACATACACATTCTATCTCAAACTTTGAAACTATGAAAGCAATCCAAATCCTGGTTTCAGTTTTCCCTCAAAGTCATCTTTGTTATTTTCCTGCCTTGAAAGTCACTTTCCCGCTTCCTTTTTCCCCCTTGCCCAATTTAAAGAATAGCAGTGCTGATAGTTTCTCAGTAACACAGTAAGACTAAGAAGCAAGCTCTAGATAAAAATAATCTCTAAGTTGACATATCCTTGATTCATGAAAAGTACAACGTGGAACTGACAAATTCCACTATGCACACTTCTGTCATGGCATAGCCTATTCCAGGAAATGAATCCCAAAAATTAAAATTTTTCATGTTATCACTCACTCATTATAGGATAGGACGGCAATCCTCTTCCCTCACTGGAAAACTCAGTGCCTCAACCATTAAGAGCTGAAGAAATCTCACCTATAGTGGCCTTGTCAGTCTCTATCTCTGCCAATAAATCTCCTTCACTTAGCTTCTCACCCACTTTTTTTTCCCATCTCTGAACTGTGCCCATGGTCATGGTGGGAGAGAGGGCAGGAAGAACCACCTGTAGAAACAAACACATAGTACTGCTTAACACATTATTAAAGTCTTGGACACAATGGCACTTAGGCAAGCTTCAGTAGTTTTATGGAATGATAGTGACTGACGATCCAAATTCCCACCTGTCTGATGCCCCCATAACAGCAAAAGATCAGTGCCTCAATAATGCCCCACCAGTTGAATCACCCTTCAAGTCCCAAGATTTACAGTACCAGTGATACTCTGACCTCCCCCGCTCCACCAAAGTTAAAAGCCAGGGGTAGACTAGGAAAGATTTCTTTTTAATCAAAATTAATTCAACTACATATTTAAGCACAGAGCATCCTTTCGTCTTTTTTATCACTTAGATTAAGCTAGAATTTTTCTTTTTTTTTTTTTAAAGATTTTATTTATTTATTTGAGAATGAGAGATAGAGAGCACGAGAGGGAAGAGGGTCAGAGGGAGAAGCAGACTCCCCGCTGAGCAGGGAGCCCGATGTGGGACTCGATCCCAGGACTCCAGGATCATGACCTGAGCCGAAGGCAGTCGCTTAACCAACTGAGCCACCCAGGCGCCCTAAGCTAGAATTTTTCATTTTCACGGAATCATCTTGGTTTACACGATTCCACTAAAATTTTGCTGTGCTCTGTATTAGCATCTATCTTTTCACTCAGAGGAAATTGCATTTCTCCCAAACTTCTCAAAAAAGAATATTATGTAAAATTATACACCAACAAATTGGACAACCTAGGAGAAATGGGTAAATTACTAAAACATACAACCTTCTAAATCAGGAAGAAACTGAAAATTTGAACAGACTGATCACTAGCAATGAACCTGAATCAGTAATCAAAAAACTCCCAACAGGGGCGCCTGGGTGGCTCAGTTGGTGAAGCGACTGCCTTCGGCTCAGGTCATGATCCTGGAGTCCTGGGATAGAGTCCCGCATCGGGCTCCCGGCTCAGCAGTGAGTCTGCTTCTCCCTCGGACCCTCCCTCCTCTCATGCTCTCTCTATCTCATTCTCTCTCTCAAATAAATAAATAAAATCTTAAAAAAAAAAAAAAAAACTCCCAACAAACAAATGTCCAGGACCAGATGGCTTCCCAGGTGAATTCCACCAAACATCTAAAGAATAGTCAACACATATTCTGCTCAACTATTCCAAAAAATAAGAGGAAGAAAAGTTCCCAATTCATTCTACAAAGCCAGCCCTGATACCTAAACCACCAAAAACAAACAAACAAACAAACTACAGGCCAATATCTCTGATAAACAAAGATGCTAAAATCCTTAACAAAATATTAGCAAACCGAATCCAACAATACATTAAAAAAAATTCACCACAATCAAAGGGACTTATTCCAGGGATGCAAGTGTGGTTCAATATTCACAAATCAATGTGATATATAACATTAGTAAGAGAAAAGATAAAAAACATATGATCATCTCAATAGATGCAAAAAAAAAAAAATCTGACAAAGTACAACAACCATTCATGATAAAAACTCTCAACGAAGTGGGCACTTATCTTGAGAGAAGATACTCAACCAAATAAAGGCCTTATATGACAAACCTACAGCTAACATCATACTCAGTAGTGAAAAACAGAGCTTTCCTTCTAAGATCAGGAACAAGGTTAAGGATGTCCATTCTCACCACTTTCATTCAATATAGTACTGGAAGTCCTAGTCACAAGCAATCCGACAAGAAAAAGAAAGAAAAGCCATCCAAATTGGTAACTATTGCAGGAAAAATAAATAAATAAAGGAAATAGAGACTCCCACTCCAATAAAATCTAAACATCAGACTGGCTGCTCTCAATGAAACATTGCTTTGCTATTTATATGGCTTGTGTGTCCACTGAATTTGGATGCTTACCCAGTTATTATGGGTTTTGTTTGCTATCTTCTTAGTTTTTTTTTTTTTTTTAAGATTTCATTTATTTATTTATTGGAGAGCGAGTGAGAGAGAAACAGCATGGGAGGGGAGAGGGTCAGAGGGAGAAGCAGGCTCCCCGCTGAGTCGGGAGCCCGATGTGGGACTCGATCCCGGGACTCTTGGGATCATGACCTGAGCTGAAGGCAGTCGCTTAACCAACTGAGTCACCCAGGCGCCCTCTTCTTAGTTTTTTTACATCTAATTAGCAAAAGGATTATTCTGAGAGAAAAATCATTTCAATTAATGTCTTGGGAAAGAGGGAAAATGAAGAAAAACTTAGAACTCTAATTAGAAAATATTTTTTAAACGTTCTTCTTGTTCAGAATTTGTCATCTCCATCTACTTCTTAAAAACCACTGGAGCCAATAATCTCTATACAGATCTTAAAAGATAATTAAGATGCAACTGTAACACTTGCACACAAAGCCACAGATATAAAATGGAGAGAAATGAAGTGTGTCTTATGTAGTGAGATAGAGTTTACTGAATAGGATGAAACAAATGTGTGACCTGAACACCACACAAAACTTCACAAGTGGCTGTTAAGAAAAGACCATGGAGAAGAACATTATGTCCAAAAAATAAAATGATACCTATACAGAAATTTCTACAAATAAACTAAGTGAAAGAAAAGCTTTAGTCTTAATCCTTTAGAAAAGGGCCAGCTGCTTTTTTACCCATTTCCAATATCCAAAACACACAAATATACATGGGATGACTGTAGTATCTAATAAACTGCTGTAGTTTCTTAGAAACGGATTTAACAGAATATTTATTGCCTTCAACTCTTTTGTCTATTCTACACTCATACTTTAATGTCAGTTTCCTCATTAATATTACGGGACTAGTTCATCCACTCTAAGAAAGTAAACACCACATGTCAAAGGAAAACATCAATTGGGGACTTTTATTCAATAGACAATACTAGAGGCCTACTAAACACTCTATCAATACAAAGTGTAGATATAAGTACAAATCATCCTCCAAATCTAATACAATGTTCTTGAATGAGAAATGCCAAGCATTATCCTATTACACTGAGGCTGAGAAAATTTAAAGGAATGTCAATGTTCACACTCCTGGAAATATTGACTAGAAATAAAATTGTTAATTTGCATATTTAAATCCCTATGTACTTTCTTCTCTTTTTAATCTCTCTTTACTTTCAAATGAGAAGAGCTAGCCATAGTTAATGCCAGTTTCCAGGATGTGATGGCCATATATGAAAAATAATGAATACTAAGTTTTCTAGAGCAAACAACCAGAGGCTGAGCCTCACCTGCATGTGAGTGGGAAATGAGCTACCAGGAGCCTGAGCAGAAGGTGTAGGTGATGAAGCAGGGGCAGCAGGGGTTGGTGCTGTGGCTGCCTGTGGGGTAGATGCTGCCGAGGAATCCAATGTGTAATTTTTAAAGGCCTCAATATCCTCAGGCCTATGGAAGAGAAAGAATGTGTAAGTACAGGGGGTTATAAAGCAAATTTAGCTCCTACAAAAGTAGTCTCAGAAGTCTTTAACTCCTATTTTCTCAGTTCTGGGTCAAAACACTCCACTAAGCACCTGAGTTCCACAAATTACCAAGGTACTACTCACTTTTCAACTGTGATACAGATGATCGCTCCAACTGGAACATCTCTGGTACCTTCAGCAACCAGTATCTTTGCCATGTAACACTCTTCCAGGCTCTCAAATCCAACAGTGGCTTTATCAGTTTCAACCTTTTAACAAAAAGCAACTTAGGCTTAAGGCTACCAGTATGAAATTTATTAGACTGTGCCTAGAATCACACAGTTCAACGGTCATGTGAAGATAAAAGCCTCTCTTAATAGACCTGAAAGTAATTAGCTAAAAAATCAGCCTGGCTAGCTGCTGACAACTTATCTAACCAACCTTCTCTAATACCAAGTTGTAAAAAACATCTTAAGTTTCTTAAGCAAAAGGGATAATTACCTATACGGAGAGCTACCAGTCAGTTTAGCTAAGCCAGTTCCTTCTAACTCATTTCCATGTTTTAAAAAACTTACCTCTGCAATTAGTTCACCCTCATTGATTTTTTCCCCTTCCTTTTTTTCCCAACGGGCTATGGTGCCTGCCTGCATTGTGGGGGAGAGAGAGGGCAATGGAACCTGGAGGAGAAAAAGGAGAAACACTAAATTTAGAAAACGCTACCTCTCGGTGTGGCTTAATGCTTCATTCAGTTGTATTTAATGCAGAGTGTACTGAGTCCCGTCCCACGCTGGGCACTGGGGACAGAAAGGGAGCTCCTGCCACCAGCTCTCCAGTGACAGAGCCCCTGCTCCACAGTCCCCTGGGAGCACGTAACTCAGCGGACATTCCACAAACAGCCTCAGGTTTGTAGCTCTTCTTTCAGTGGAACAGATCAAGAGACGAACGCCTGGAACTCTTTTCCTTCCATGGAATTAATAGATCAGGAGAGGTAAATTGGCTCAAGAGCCACAGCAAAGCTGGGTGTTGAAGAAGAGACAAATGATATATACTGGAAGAGGGATGGAAGATCACTGAAGCCTCAGAGGGAGGATCCCGAGGCTAAGAAGTCTGCCCTGAAGGACAAACGGGGTCCCGCGAAGGGCAGGTCTGGGGCTCACCTTCTGATGCGGGGGCAGGCTATAACAGCGGCGGCTGGACGATCCCAAAAGCTGCAGCAGGAGGCGATTCCTCCGTGTGGCCCACGAGCTGGGACTCCAGCTGCAGAGTGCCCGGACACGGCCATACGCCGTGGTCCCACTACTGCAACGAGCCGGAGCCGCGCCAGCCCGCGGGGTCACGCCTGGAGCTCCCGGGTCCTCCCGCAAGGCCGCCCACCGAACCCCGAATCCTGCCCTTGGGGCCGCATTCTGGGCCCGTCGAGCACAGACGCGCCACATGCTGCCAGCAGCCCCCACGGCCCGAGAGCAACGCCGTCTCCGGAGTGACCTCTCCAAGAGCAGTGCGGCGTTGCCGTCACCCGCGCCGCACAGCCGCACACTGTCGTAAAATGGGCTCCAAAGCTTCACTGCACCCCTCCCCAGACGAGAAAGACGTGGAACGTCCGCTCTTCCTGCAGGGAGTAGGGGAAAGGGTGGCCCACAGCGGGTACGGTAGAAGACTATTTTCCAGCCACAGGGGCAGGGGCGTTCCAGCGGAGCCAATGCAGGCGCAAGTTTGGGAGAAATAAGACGCGGAGAGGGTGGAAGGTAGAGGCATCCTAGGACTGGCATCTCAGGGTAGGACGGTGCCTAAGCGACGGGAGGGGCACGGCCGTCAGGGAGGGGCTTAAAAAGACCGCGAGAGCCTGGCTGATGGAGGCCGATATGGCCTGAGAGGTGGGCTGAGGGGGAGTGGTCAAGTTTTGAGAAAAGCGGGGAAGGGAGCCGGAGGCCCAGGGCGGCGTCGCGGAGCGCTCGGGCAGCCTGGCGCGCGGAGCTGGCCGAGGGGGTCAGAACGTTCTGGTGATGTGCGGTCCGCCTCTGCTGGCCCAGCCGTGGCCAGGCTTGGGGTCTCGCTCCGCGCGGCCGGTATCGATTCACGGACGTTTAATTTCAGGTTTGTAGCATCACCGGAAATCAGAGTGAACAGGTTTTCCAGCCGAATGGTGTGAAGGGCAGCCAAACGGAAGATTCATTCCCCGGTTAAGGTGTGCTGCAGCGGGACTAAGCATGTTATGCCGTGTGAAGGTACAAGTTTACAAAAGAGATTTGCGTTTCTGACTGACTATAGAACCCCTTTAAAGCGCAAAAAGCTTTGTTATGCTTGAAATATTTCGTACAAAACTACAGACTTTAGTATACTATCCGGTAAATAATGGAGGTTGAAGGCATGTCGTTTGAATTAATAAACGAGAAGTTATCTACAACATTTGTTAGGTATACTTCTGTTGTAGGGTTATCATACTACAAGTGAAAAATACCTCATTTCTAAGCTGAGGGTGACATTAGATTAGGAGGTAGCACGTGCTGTATTTATACGTCCCCATTGTACAGATGGTCATAGCACACGAACACAAAAAATAGGAAAAACCAACGTGTGAAAATATGTTCAACCTTGCTAGTAATTAAACATTTGGAAAATTAAAACAGCCAGGAGGCACTATTTCATACCTACTAAAGTAGTAAACTTTAAAAAGCAAAAACCCAGGGGCGCCTGTGTGGCTCAGTCGGTGGAGCGTCTGCCTTTGCCTGGGGTTGTGATCTCAGGGTCCTGGGATCAAGCCCCGCATCGGGCTCCCCGCTCAGCGGGGAGTCCGCTTCTCTCTCTCCTTCTGCCTGCCTCTCCCCCAACTTGTGCTCGCGATCTGTCTCTCTCTTATAAATAAAATCTTTAAAAAAAAAAAAGCAAAAACCCAGTATTAATGGGATTACAAAGAAAAAGCACTCGTTGAGTGGACCAAATACAATAGTTGTCTTTATAGATGGCAGTATAAGAAGTAACAGACTGGGAAAAATTGTTTACATCTTCCCCCAAAAGCCTATTCTAGTACTCTTAAAGCATTCAGAATAGGGTAAAAACTGTCTTAGTGTCTTTATAACAAAAAGAACTGATAAACATAACTCACCAAAAATGAGGAAAGTTCACGCAGTCACAGCTGCCTAACAGTAATATGTAGGCAATACAACTGAGAAATAAAAAATTTCCAGTTTAGATGGAAAAGCACATTGGAAATTATGAGTAGAGCAATTATATTACAATTATGTAAAACAATAACTATTGGAAGAATAATTGTGATTAGTGAAAGGGCTTATACTGTAACTTTATAAATTATTATGAAAATGTTTTAATGATTTTGAATTGACCAGAATATCTTACTACTTCCACTGTATTTGAATTTAATAACGGGATCTAAATTAGCCTTTGTATGATACTATCTTCGGTTTGCTGTTCACTTCCTTAGGTAGGATTGCTTAAACCTGGGTTTGTATTTGAATATACTTTTTTTTTTAAGATTTTATTTATTTGACAGAGACACAAGAGAGGGAACACAAGCAGGGGGAGTGGGAGAGGGAGAAGCAGGCTTCCCGCTGAGCGGAGAGCCTGATGCAGGGCTCAGTGCGGGGCTCAATCCCAGGACCCCAGGATCATGACTTGAGCCAAAGGCAGACGCTTAACGACTGAGCCACCCAGGCGCCCCTTGAATATACTTTTGACAGGTGTAAATGACAGGAGGGCACAGGTCAAACAGTCCGGGCGGTCAGCCCTGAGAGAATAGGTCTGAACTCCCCTAAACAGATTTGATAACAGAATTTAAAGGAAGGCCAAAACTCTAAGGTTTGAAGTAGAGAGACTTGTAGAATGGTGACAACCGATAGGAAATGGGAAGATGGAAAGAGGAATTACTGAGTAGTGAAAGATTTGAGTTAAGCTCTTTACATATTTAATTTTAACATAATGACCTAATTAAAATGGCTTGTAATTAATAGTTGAAAATATGTAATTGCAAGTCAAGTAAACGCTCAGGACTACAAATGTAGATACATAAAACATTTAAATTGAAGTGATAAATGAAGCTGACCTAAGTTTTAGGAAGGCAGCTTTCAAATTAGTTTGGAAATTCTGGTTCTTTTAAATAGGCATTTCTGAAAGTCTCCAATTAATGTTTCTCGCTTTTTCATTCAAGACTTTTGTCATACAGCTTGTACTCAGGTTTTTATTTGTTTGCACATTTATATATAATTTCAAAAGAAGTGCTAAATCAATGCATTTTCTTTGGCAATAATAACGTGTTTTGTGCTTACATTTGAAATGCCAATGGTAAAATATCTATAGCAATAAAGTAATCCTTATCTCTGTTCCCCAAGTAATGAGTAAACATGCTACCAGGGAGATCACTTGAGGAAATTGACTTGCACTAAATGTAAATGGCTTTGCTGATTAATTTCAGTCAATAAACACAAGTGAAAATGACTAATGGTATTTAGTTTGCAAACTCCATTTTATTCATGGTTTGTTTCTGCCTTTTTTTTTTTAATTAGTTCACAAATCTGGTACATACAGGCAGTTAAAACTGGTTATCACTTTGATAATCAGAAGCCTCTGGTATAACACAGTCTTCATGAAAACATAAAACAGGGAGAACGCATGGTGGTAATCTCTATGAAAGCAATGGTTGCAAACATCCATGTTTCTAAGAAAATATAACTTTACATATATATTTTAAGCAAGCTATACCTCTTACATAAATTCAGACAACAGGAGTGTGCAATCATAACGCTTCTTTTATCGAAAAAATGAAAATTATTATAATTATGACATAAATGCTCTTAAGTAATTAGAGTCCTCTTGGATTGGATGTAGAACATAAAGATATTTTCCCTAATTTACAACCAGCCTGGTCAAAAAGAGCTGAAATGTTAATCAGTAAGTAGGAATGCCATTAACTGAGTTTAACCCAAATTCTTTAGGTACAAATTGTAAAGTGTTCCAATTCCAGCTAATTTAGGGAACTGAGTGAGAATAGTCATCAGTTTTTAAATGACGACTTTTGAAGGAATTGAGCTTTCTTCTAAATTAGTTTTTGTGAGAGGATCTTTTTTTTTTTTTTTTAATCTCACAGGTTTAGAGGTTATTTTATGAACTCTAAACATTCTAGTTCCTTAGTTTTTTCAAAAAAAGAGAATTTCAGTGTTAGGATGAACTATCCCACACAAATGTCACCAGGGGACAATACTATGAATAAGTCAAGAGGCTTAGAGTGCAGCCATAGTGTAAAAAACAGGAATCTATTCAAACCAGAAGGAACCGATGCACACGCTTCCTCAGAAGGTTCCTGTCTTGAGAAACTGGAATGGGGATTACCAACACATTGTACACAAAAATTACTGGAGTGACACCCTGTAATGGGGGTGTTTAGTTATTACCCATGGCATATGAGATTATTGAGCTAAAGGGGAAAAAAGTATCTCCTTCTCACCCCTGAACTCAACTTCAGCTTTCTATGGAGGCACTAAGGCCATGCAGCTCCTCTTCCAAAGGACAGAGATATAAAAGCCAAATAAGGTAGAGGACTTTGAAATTTCTCTCTCGTTTAATTTTCTCTGAATAGCTAAATTCTACATAATGGTGAGAATGTTTGCTCAAAGAAAACTGACAAGTAAAAACTAACAAGAGATATTCAAGATAAATCGTACTGGAACTACAATAACGAATTTTGGCCTGATAACCCTCATGCTGTCTTATAGCAAAACACTAAAATTCATGCAACAGAGAAATCGGTGACATGAGGACCTTTTCTCCAGACTTCCGGCGGGGGGGGGGGGGAACAGACTCAGAATATCCTCTTTTCTTCTGTTTGCTTTCATAATGAATTATTCTTGCTTTTGACTGACTTTCCCAAACTTTCCCAGTCATTTCTAATGAGAAATTCTTCAGTAGGAGAAGATTAAGTAAACTTACTGAAAGATACCAGGTATCTTTTGAGCTCCTTCTGTCTGCTAGAGGAGCAATCAAATAGATTATGTAAAACTACCTCCACAATCAAAATGGCAGGTAGAATTAGAACCAGGAGTTAGTTGTCATTAGTATACTTGTAATAAAATAAAGCTTGTTCTGAAACCACAAGGGTAAGAAGAGAAGAGCCTGTATAAAAGCTACTGGGTTCTCTAGAAAATGGATACAGTATACAGAATGTGAGAACATATAGAACTCACACTCAAGTTATAAAAATAGACATGGTTCTCAGACAAAAAGCAAATGAGTACAAAAGAATTCTCCAAACATGAACTATTCTTAAAAGACACATCTATATAAAACAACAAAATGTCATTTCAGAGCTCCAATGAGTAGTCTGTTGAAATAGCTGGAAAAGGGAGATGAACTAGAGACAGACAGGTCAAGAACCCAGAACTGACTTGTCTGACTCTCCTGGTTGGCAGTGTACATCAGTGGTCACAGGCCGACTGCTTTTGGGAATGAATGTGTGTGCGTGTGCATGCGTGCGTGTGCGCGTGCGTGCGCGTGTGCGCATATATATGTATATACATACATACATATATATGTATATGGCTGATTAGTTGATGGTGCTTGGTAAATGACTGAGAAAACCCAAGTTATTAAGTAATCTCTGGAAGTTTAACTCTTTTCTTTTAGCTTCTACACTTGACAATGTTGCACATGAGAAAGGATTCAAGGTTTTTTTACCCAGAATCAACCCTGCCATTCACAACTCATGCTCCATGCCCCATGGTTCCTACTGTGCCCTCAAGGATCAACCTAGACTAAATATATAATAGAAAATAACTTGAAATGAAGAGGGGCAGACCAGTAACTCATGCTCAGTACTCATAAATGACAAATACTGAAATTAATGGTCTGTCTCCTTTTGACTGCAAAGGAGATACCATGAGCTAAAGGAAGTCATGAGAGAAAGAAAGTCAAGAAAATATGGGTAGCAGCACCTTTCCATACCCGCCTAGATTTTTAAGGAGACTTTAACTCCTTATTCCTTTCAAACACAAAGTTCGTCAGTTGGAAGGGGGAAAAAATGGCTCTACAGTGGAAGAGTCCCCAGAGAAAACTAGCAGTACATGAAATGTGCCCTCTGTGGGCTGAAGGACAAGTTGCAGAACCAGTTAAGACACAAGAGGCAACCCGAGGTCTTACTTCATCATGGTTTTAGCAAAGTATAGCACAATATGGGCAGCCCTTTTTCCATCCAATCAACAATTCAGCACCATCCATGTCCGGTCCAAAACATTCCTGAAGAGTGGGCATTCATCTTTGGTACCACTTCATGAGTTACTCTTGGTTTGCAATAGCTGCAAAGAAGCAAAAAAGCTGGTACCTTTGCCTTGTCTGTGAGTACAAATGCTGGAACTCTGATTGCTGCAACCATTGAGGCCAATTAAAATAATACTGTAACACAT